TGCGCTTAAATATTGTACTTGCCATATTGCTCGTCGACGAAGATTGTTGGTTCAAGGATAGAGAACATGGTCCCAATAAAACCAATGTCATTTACATCATATATAAAGATAATATTATATCAATATAATAGGTTAGGTTATGGTTAGGTTAGTTAGGGTTAGGGTTAGGGTTAGATTAGGGTTAGGGTTAGGCACATTGGTTTTATTGGGACCCATTTCTCTATCCTTGGGCCAGATGTTTATCAACTTGTAACCTCCATTTCTTCGTTGCGCAGTTCCGGCGCTAGTGAGCAGGCACAATGTATTTCCAAGTGGAGGGTGGGGCAGGTTGCACTGCGGATTTTACCGCCATTTTCGTTGCACAGCGCTAGCGCGGTTTGCAACTGCCGTGCAACTGCCCACCTCCACTTTGAATACATTGTGCCTGCTCACTAGCGAAAAGTGGCCGTTTACAAGTTACATCTTCGTCGACGAGTAAATATAGCAAGTACAACATTAAACGTTAGTTTGCAGTTTCATTTTTAGCTCACCTTGACATCGTCAAGCTGAGCTATTGCCATGGCGTCGTCGTCCGTCGTACGTCCGTCCGTCCGTCAACATTTGGCTTTCGGTCAACAACAACTCAGGAACTGTTTGACCCACATTTTGAAATTGGGTGTAGTTGTTACTGCTATGCTCCCATATTAAACGTCCTATTTCTGGAGCACGCCAGTCGGCGTGCTTTCGAGCCACGGGCGATTTTTTGGCAAAAATGGGAATTGCCATTAGTCAGTTCAGGTTCAACGGATTTGCCTCATTTTTGGCTATGTAAATGAATAAGGGCTAGGGGTTTTGATATTTAAAAAAAAATATGCAAATTAGGTAGGTTTGGCAATTATATAGCATATATATATAGACACAGTCTGTGGTGTCACACTCTCTTCTGGTTCGTTTTACAAGATTTCATTGACAATATCTTTAATGCAAAATTTGGTATTTCCTCTCCACCCTGCCGATAAAACGTCTATATTAGAGTAAAGTTTTACAAACATGTCGGAACGCAGCATAACCTATTTATTTCAAACGCCATCGCTACAAAGCAGGTATAGCGCCATCTACGGTCACAAATTGTGATTCATTTTGGTTTATAAATATTATTTGAAATTACAGATGGCAATCGTTTCTATAATGTACCGTCGATGGTTGCTCAATTAAACTGACTTCTCTCTTTACTCACTCATTTGTGTCCTTTTTTGTGGTGAGCTACAGTGTCATTGACACTTTCATAGTGTTTGTAGTAACTTAAAACATTTGTCCGGCAGAGAATGTGTTTTATTTGGCATACCGAAGAAGTTATTATCGGCAAAAAGTTGTCTGCTTACTCACTGGAAATTGCCATATTACGTTCTATAGTACTAGAGCTAGGTACGGAGCTGTGTACACAGTACAGTACATAATAACATATTGTTAATGTTATGGTATATCCAGCTCAGTGATGTGGAGGATTTTTGCATATTTTTGGTCTAGTACAATAATAATAGTACTTGCTATAGGAAAAAGGGTAAAACTAGGATTTACGGATCGCTCAGCCTCAGGGGTCAGTGACAGTGCCACTGTGACAGTGACACTGTGACAATGTTGTAATCACACTCAGTAATGTCACTGTTGTGTTGACATGGCCCACTGACACTGTCCAGGGGTAGAAATTAACTTTTGAACACGGGAGTCCAACGGACTCCCTACCCTCAAAAAGAGGGAGTCCGCAGCAAATGAGGTAGTCTGCAGTCTGAGGTTCAAAATTAAAGATATTAACAATAACGCATGCGCTTATTTTTAAGATTCATGCGGTTGCACGGCTGCCAATTTTCTTTGAACATTAGCTGAAAAATACGGTAATTCCGCGAGGCCGTGCTCTGGAACGAACTAGTTAGTATGGCAGAATTTTCAGTGAGTCACATATGTCAAATCGGGGAGTCCACCAGTAAATCAGGGAGTATTTGACTCCGTACTCCCGTTAATTTCGCAGCATGCTGTCACTGAGGACTCTTCTGGATTTCCTTTATTTTTCATAACCATATTTTTTAGGGCTAGCGTACAGTAAACCATAAGGCTACAACCCACAATGCTGGGGGGTCCACTACTAGTGCACTATTTGTTTTAGACTGAACAGGTTGTGGGCTATACTGTACTCCTTTTTTGTATGTCATGGTTTAATTTGAGTATTTTTTGTATCTTAGTCTTTTTTTATGAATAAAAGTACCGGTGGTATATACTAAGTGCACATCAAGTTCTCTTCTGGACTCCCAAAGCAGAAGGTTTAGGTATACAGTAGCCAAATGTTGACTTTTTTTTTCAGGATGCGCTTGGAGAAGAAATTTTGCGTATGTCGTCTGACGAAATTGTCAGTCGCACAAGACTGCTTGATAATGAAATTAAGGTAAGTGTTCCATCATCAGTTTATTGCAATATATAAATACGTGTGTGTAGGGCTTATGTGCGCATGCATGTGTGCGTGTGTGTGTGTGTGTCTGTGTGCACATGTAAGTGTTTGGTGTTCAACTGTTCCTGACGTCAATAAATGGACTTCATTCTTGGTTTATTTAAGATCATGAAGAGTGAGGTCATGAGGATTTCCCATGAACTGCAAGCTCAGAAGGAGAAGATAAAAGAAAATGCAGAAAAGATAAAAGTGAACAAGACCTTGCCATATCTTGTTTCAAATGTTATTGAGGTAAGCTATCTGTAAAACGGTTATAATTACAATGTAGTTAATTATATAGAAGTTTCATTAGGAATTGTAACAACTTGTCCAAATATGTAATATTGTTAATATAGGTAATGTAGATACTATGCAGGGTTCTGCCCTGACTTTTACCACATGCCAGGTCTAACATACCTTAAAAGGTGAAGCTAATTTGCAGCATCTCATAAATCTTCCAAATGTCTCAATTGCCTAAACGACATGCCTTAATTACCGACTGTGTTTACTTTTGATAATCCCAACACAATCATGTTGTTTTCAGAGTTTGATATATAGGTCTCCGACCTAATTACCTTTACTGGTATACTGGGGTTAGCATGTAACACGCGCAATTGACTTCACTTACTATAACCCACCTCCCGGTCGCTCTCCCATCCGTCCATAAATGATATAAATGATAAAATACCTGTGGATAACCGTGCTATATAGTAGAGTTTTAGAGGAGTTTTCCCCACTTAAATTTTAATGTGGTAAATATAAAGAATCATACTGAAATAGTGTGTACTTTCACTATTTTCTTTAGCATTACGGCCAATACTTCCCGAGTTGCCTAATTTAGAAGGGGAAGAATGATATATATTGTCATGATCTAGATCTTTATCCTAGTGATATTTTAGTAGTCATGCTCTCTATCTTGTTTCAATTAAAGCTCTTAGACATGAATCCAGAAGATGAAGAGGAAGAAGAAGGAGCAAATGTAGACTTGGATTCTCAGCGTAAGGGAAAGTCTGCAGTCATTAAGACATCAACACGTCAGGTGAGCTTTAGAGCAAACTAAGCTATTTCTAAATTGCACGTTTGCAATTCATGAGTAAATTCTGTAAAAATTTAGCAAGAGTGTGTGGCTACAAGAGGTTTTTGTAGATTCGGTCTGGTATCTAGTGTGATTGATTTGCATGAATGTCAGATTCAGAATATTATCAAGCAAATGTTGGCATTGTAGTAAGATGAATGTATCAATGTACGTTTGTTTCAGACATATTTTCTTCCTGTAATTGGATTGGTTGAACCCTCAGACTTGTCGCCTGGTGATCTTGTGGTAATAATACTATAATATATTAATATAGGACCAGAATTATATAAAAAATCTGAACTAGAATAATGATTCATATTTCAATTAAAAATAAATCTGTTTGCAGTAATTGACTTAAAGAATGCAATTACTTTATATTTACAAAATATATTTTTCAATTAAATTTGGTTACTCTTCTAATTATACAGGGTGTGAACAAAGATTCATATCTGATTCTGGAAAAGCTACCAGCAGAGTAAGTACACTCTGATTTTTAATTGTTATTTTAACAACATTTTTTGACACCTGTTCTTGTCATTTTCTTTACCAAATAGCATTTATGACATGCTACAGATGTTTCATCGACTGTGTAATTTATATAACTCATTGGTTTTCAACTAAACTAAATGAGATTTTAGCCAAGTTTAGAAACAATGTCTGTTTGTTGTAGATTTTTGGAGTTATTTAATTCTTTTGTTCAAATTTGATGATATCAGGATAAATTTGTTATTAAAAGTTCAGAGCATTTATGTCTTGTGGAAAAGCTCCAGTTAAATATTTTCATTCATCCTTGGTGCAGATTTGACTCACGTGTGAAAGCAATGGAGGTGGACGAAAGACCAACTGAGCAATACAGTGACATTGGAGGTCTTGACAAGCAGATTCAAGAGGTAATTATTAAGTATACGGTCAAGCTTTTTCATGCGTACTGCTGTGATAAGTGACACGTTTGGTGCTGAAAGAATCCTATGAATTGCATGTTTAATTTATAGATCATAACGTCTCTCTATGCACAAGCTGAAAAATTTCATGAAATATTCTGCATCTAGTTATATGACTTCGGAAATTTTGAATTTTTATGTAAAAATGTCATTTTCGACATTTTTCAATTACTACAAACAGTGGGGTAGCAAAACCTTTGCTACAATTTACACATCGTATGCACCAAAAAGTGTGTCAGGATTTTTTTTAAGATTCACATTCACGTTAAACATGATAAAAACTAAAGTTGTAAAACAACAACTTGTATGTTGTGACTAAAAACTTAAGCAAATACAGTACCATAAGTGATAAAAGACAACACGTAATATCAAACCCTACTGCGCTTTTACAGTAATGTGTTACCATTAAAAAAGGTCTAAATTTAAATTATACCAAGATGAATGACGGAGAAATATCCACTTATAAAGTGGAAATTGTGACCGAAATAGCAAAGGAGAAATCAGCATTCTTCTGATTTTCACAATGATCGAATGCCTGTGTGCAAAATGGGTGAATGTATGTGAAATATTTACTGTTAGTCCTTACTGTGACATATCCATGAACTCGTCTAATTCACTACAAGTACAACTCATTTGTATTGCTACTTTCATAACATTTCTTCGCAAAACCTAAACGAGAGTACTAGTCTCACGAAAGTAGCGCCACAGTGATGTTTACACATCTGGGACACAGCCGAGCGATCGTTAATTTAATTGTTTTCTATGATAAAACAAGTTATAATTCATTATATGTTTGTTCAGTACAGAATTGTGAAATTTGTTTAAATCACATGTTATCCACATTACTTATGCAATCAGGAAACAAATATAGTGTTTTCTTTCCAGGAACTATTTGCGCTGGTGTACCCCCTTCGCTCAACATAATTTATGCACCGGATAACTCTGTCGGACGTTGTATCAAAATCTTCTAGTTCGGAGCACATTTCTGGCTCAATAAGAACATTTTGTGATATTTGCATATTGCAAGTATCCTCACAGTAGGTGTATGTAGGCTGTTGGTTTATCCACTTTAAAGAAAAGTAAACTATTTGATTTTTTTTACAAAAGATTTTATTAAGGTGGTTAGTTACAGATGCCTACAGATGCCACACTTGCAGACTTTCTTTCTGCTCCTGCACGGAAGTTACTGCAGGAACGTTACCAGCATTTTAATTTTGATTGATACATTATGTCATCATATAATTTGAAAAGTGTTGCTACTTGATGTGAATAATTTAAATAGTATCAGTCTGATTGCCATAATCCAGGTAGCTGCTTCCATTAGCGTCGTTGTTTACCAGTCCTTGGCGTTGTAGCTGTTGCTGCTGCCATATCCCTCTCCGGCGTTGTAGCCGTAACGTGGGGAGTCATAGTTGATGCCAACTCTACCGGCATCATAGGCGGGCTGCTGATCATATGAGGTGCCGACAGCGTGGACTCCCGTGGCGTGGACGCCGCTACCGTGCACGAGTCCAGCTCCGCGGACGGATCCAAGACCGAGTCCAGCTCCGCGGACGGATCCAAGGCCGAGTCCAGCTCCGCGGACGGATCCAAGACCGAGTCCAGCTCCACCGACGGATCCAAGACCGAGTCCAGTTCCGCGGACGGATCCAAGACCGAGTCCAGCTCCGCGGATAGCTCCAGATCCAAGGCGCACTGCGCCGCCTCCGATGTTCGCGGCTCCGAGGTTGATTCCACCGAGGGATCCGGCATTGCTTCCGGCGATTCCGCTAGCAGACGCGTCACCGGCGCCTCCACCGACAACGGCGGTCAGAGGTCCGAGCTGCACGCGTGGGGCGGCAACATTGACGGCCTGGATGCCGGAGTAGGGCAGGTTCCTCGCGTAACCGTATGCGGCTCCGGCAGATCCGGCTCCAGCGCCCGCGGCGGCCTGCTGGAACTGAGCCTGCGCCTCCTGGTTGGCACGGCGGGAGGCCTGGCGGGCCGAGGCGGCGGTACCGGTGCCGGAGGCAGCGCGGTCAGCAGAGGCAGCGTGCCACTGACGGGCGAAGCCAGCTCCGTACTTCTGTCCGACGACCCCCGGGGCGGATCTCGGCTCGGTGCCGGACGGGGCGTGGGCAGCGGCGCGGTCGCGGGCGCCCTCGAAGTTGAAAGCGCCGGTGCCGACGAACTCATCGGAAGCCTCGAAGCTGATGGCGTTTCCAAGTCCGATCCTGTTGCCTCCGAGGGAGGTGTAGCGGCCGGAGACGGCGACCTGGCCGACGCCGTGACGTCCACCCTGTCCGACGAGACCACCGAAGCCGTTGAGGGAGCCACCGCGCCTGCCGCCCAGGTTAATTCTGCCGCCGAGGTTGCCTCCGGATCGCAGGTTAATTCTGCCGCCGAGGTTGCCTGCGGATGCCAGGTTAATTCTGCCGCCGAGGCTGACACTCGTCAAAGCTGAGCTATTGCAATGGTTTTCCGTCCGTCCGTCGTCGTCCGTCCCGTCAGACATTTGGCTTCGGATCACACAACACTCAGGACTGTTTGACCCACATGGTTTGAAAATTGCGTGTAGTTGTTAACTCTAATGCTCCCATATTAACGTGCCTATTCTGAGAACGCCAGTCGGGGTGCTTTCGATGCCACGCGGCAGGGTATTTTTTGGCAAAAATGGGAATTGCCATTAGTCATTCAGTTCAACCGGATGTTGCCTCATTTTTCGGTATTGTAAATGAATAAGGCTAGGGGCTTTGATATTTAAAGAAAAACAATGCAAATTAGGTAGGTTTGGCAATTATCATAGGCATATTATATTAGACACAGTCTGTGGGTGTCACACTCTTCGGCTGGTTCGTTTTTACCAAGATTATCATTGAACAATATCTCTTAATGCAAAATTAGGTATTTCCCTCTCACACCCTGCCGATAAAACGTCTATATCTAGAGTAAGTTTTCAAAACAGTCGGAACGCAGCATAAGCTATTTATTTCAAACGCTCATACGGCTACAAAGCCAGCGTAGAGCGGCCATCTACGGTCACAAATTGTGATTCATTTTGTTAGTACATAAATATTATTGCAATTATACAGATGGCAATCGTTCATATAAATGTACGTCGATGGGTGCTCAAATTAAAACTGATTCTTCTTAACTATCATTTGTGTTTTTTTTTGTGACCGTGAGCAACAGTTCATTACACTTTCATAGGTTGTTGGTTAGGTACTTCAAAACATTTTCCGGCAGAGATAGTGTTTTACTTTTGGAACCGAAAGAAGTTATTCTGCAAAAAGTGTCTGCTTACTCACTGAAATTGCCATATTACGTTTTCATAGTACTAGAGCTAGGTACGGAGCTGTGTAACACAGTACAGTACATAATAAACATATTGTTAAAGGTTATCGGATCTCCAGCATCGTGATGTTGGAGGAATTTTTTTGCATATTTTTGGTCTTAGGTACAAATAAATAATAGTATTTGCTATAGGAAAAAGGGTATAAAACTAGTGATTACGATCGCTCAGGCCTCAAGGGGTCCCAGCTGACAGTGCCACTGGACAGTTGACACTGCTGACCAATGTTTATATCACACTCATAATGTCACTCGTTGTGTTGACATTGCCCACTGACACTGCCAGGGTAGAAATTAACTTTTGAAACACGGGTCCAACGGACTCCCTACCTCAAAAAGAGGGAGTCCGCCAGCAAAATGATGGTAGTCTGCAGTCTGAGGTTCAAAAATTAAGATAATTTAACAACTAACGCATGCGCTTATTTTTAAGATTCACATGCGAGTTGCAGGGCTGCCCATTTTCTTTGAAATTAGCTGAAAAAATACGTAATATCCCGAGGGCCTGCATCCTGGAACGAACTAGTTTAGTAGGCAGGAATTTCAGTGGTCACATATGTTTCCAAATCGGGGGTCCCACAGTAATCAGGGAGTGATTTGACCTCCGTACTCCCGTTATTTCGCAGCAAAAAATGCTGTCAACTGAGAGACTCTTCTGGATTTCGCTTATTTTCATTAACCATATTTTTTTAGGGCTAGCGTACAGTAACCATAAGGCTAACAACCCACAAATGCTGCGGGGTCCACTACTAAGTGCCACTATTTTTTTTAGCACTGAACAGGTTTGTGGGTATACTGTACCTCCTTTTTTGTATGTCATGGTTTATTTGAGATTTTTTGTATCTATAGTCGTCTTTTATATGAATAAAGTTACCGGTAGGTATATACTAAGTGCACATCAAGTTCTCGTTCTGGACTCCAAAGCAAGTAAAGTTTAGGTATACAGTAGCCAAATGTTGACTTCTTTTTCAGGATGCGCTTGGAGAAAATTTTGCGTAGTGTCGTCTGACGAAATGTCACGTCGCACAAGACTCGCTTTGATAATGAAAATTAAGTAAGTGTCTCCATCTATCAGTTTCATGATCAATACTAATAAATACAGATTGTGGTAGGGCTTATGTGGCGCATGCATGTGTGCGTGGTGTGAGTGTGTCGTGTCTGTGTGCACTGTAAGTGTTTGGTTGTTCAAACTGGTTCCTGACGTCAATAAATGACTATCATTCTTGTTATATTTAAGATTATGAAGAGTGAGTCATTGAGGATTTCCCAATGAACTCCAAGCTCAGTAAGAGAAGATAAAGAAAATGCAGAAAGACGATAAAAGTGACAAGACCTTGCCATTCTTGTTTCAAATGTTATTGAAGGTACAGCTATCTGTAAAACGGCTTATAATGTACAATGTAGTTAATTATAGTAGAAGTTTCATTAGGATTGTATTACATTTGTCAAATATATATGCGAATATTGTTAATATAGGTAATGGTAGATAATATGCAGGCGTCTGCCTGTGCTTTTTACCAATGCCAGGTTCTAACATCACCTTAAAAGGTGAGCTAATTGCAGCATCTCATAAATCTATCAAATATCTCAATTGCCTAAACGACAATGCCTTAATACACGACTGATGTTCTTTTTGAAAATCCCAACACAATCATTGTGTTTCAGAGTTTGATATATTAGGTCTCGACTAATTACCTTTACTGTCATACTGTGGTTAGCATGTAAACTGCGCAATTGACTTCACTTACTATAGACCCACCTCCGGTCCTCTACCATCCGTCCAATAAATGAATTAAATGATTAACAATACCTCGTGGATAACCCGTGCTTATATAGTAGAGTTTTAGAGGAAGTTTTCCGCCACTTAAATTTTTAATGTGGTAATAATAAAGAATCATACTGAAAAATAGTGTGCTATTTCACTATATTTCTTTAGCATTAGACGCCAATACTTCACCGAGTTGGCCCCTTAATTTAGCAGGGAAGAATGATATATATTGGGTCAATGAATCTAGATCTTTTATCCAGTGTATTTTCAGTTAAGTCATCAGCTCTCTTCTTCTGGTTCAATTAAAGCTCTTAGACAATGAATCCAGAAGAAATGAAGAGGAAGAGAAGGAAGAGCAAAATTGTAGACTTGGATTCCTCAGCGTAAGGGAAAGTCTGCAGTCCATTAAGACATCAACACGTCCAGCGTGATTTGTTAGAGCAAAACTAAGATATTTCTAAATTGACCGTTTGGCAAATTCAACTGAAGGTCTAAATTCTGATAAAAATTCTAGCAAGAGTGTGTGGATAACAACGAGGTTTTTGTACGATCGTTCGGTATCTAGTGTGATATGATTTGCATAATGTCAGATTCAGATTTATCTAAGACAATGTTGGCCATTGTAGTAAGATGAATTATCAATGTACTTGTTTGTTTCAGACCATATTTTTCCTGTAATTGGACTTGGTTAGAACCCTCAGACATTGATCGCCTGGTGATCTTGTCAAAAAAAACGGTAATAAATACTACTAATATATTAAAGGACATAATTCGACCCCATTGATTATGCAAAAAAAGTAATTTTACCTTATAGCCAAAAACGTGTATTAGTTTGTCAAATTATCACTGTGGTTACTAGGAAATATCCAACTTGAAATCCGCGGTACAAAATCCGATTGTTGACGTTTCAACCCGCTATGCCGGTAGTAACAGGTCGTAACGCGGCGATGGTGGTGTCATACAGACTTATAGGTGCACCGGGACATTTTCGCACGTATGCACTCGGACCAGTCCAGTGATTCTCAGATCTTGCTAGTGTGGACGTGCGCTCTCGTACGTTAATGAGTTTTACTCTTGGATTCAGCGGGAATAAATGAATATACGAAAAGTTTCTTTGGAGAAATTACAAGCAACATATATATGTGGCAACTAGGCGAAATAATAACACTAGGCAAACAATTTACAGGCGACAAACAATTCGAATGCTCACACATCCTGTAGCAAACTTTACGTCACCGAACCGAACTCGATGGTTTTATTTGTTGGCAAATAAATTTAAGCTCTGTCGCCAGAATTACCAAATTTACGCGATTATCAATTAAGACATTTCTTAGTATATTAGCAGTGAACTATTGACAATAATTACGGCGTTGGCTATAAGGTATGACTTATTAACTACACAACGTGCCAAGTTTTACTGCTAGCACCTTCATCAACTGTGCATAATCGCATGTCGTCGAATTAGCTGCCTGTTAATATAGGACCAAGTTATATAAAAAATCTGAACTAGAATAATATTATATTTCAATTAAAAATAAATCTGTTACTGCAGTAATTGACTTAAGAATGCAATTACTTTATATTTACAAAAATATTTTGTTCAGATTAAATTGGTTACTCTTCTAATGTATACAGGTAGTGGAACAAAGATTCATATTTTCTGGATTCTGGAAAACGTAGAGGATACCAGGCAGAGTAAGTACACTCTGATTTATTTAATTGTTATTTTAACAACATTTTTTTGATGATTCTTTGATCATTTTTCTGACCAAATAGCATTTATGGACATGCTACAGATGTTTCATCGACTGTGTAATTTATATAACTCATTGGTTTTCAACTAAAATCTAAATGAGATTGTAGCCAAGGGTAGAAACAATGTTGTTTGTTGTAGATTTTTTGGAGTATATTTAATTCTTTTGTTCAAATTTGATGATATCAGGTAAATTGTTATTAAAAAGTTCAGGAAGCATTTATGTCTTGTGGAAAAGCTACAGTTAAATTTTTATTCATCTTGGTGCAGATTTGACTCACGTGTGAAAAGAAATGGAGCGTGGACGAAAGACCAATGAGCAACTACGTGACATGGACTTGTCAGCGTGCTCAAATTTCCGCATTCTATACTCACTATGATTACGAAATCAAATGAATTTGATAAAACAGAGATACGTGAGAACGTGAGAAGAAACGAACATGTGTTGCTATTTACGTCACTGAAATTGTGGTACCTCCTCCAATTTCAGTTTATTAGACGGCAAACATAATACTATAATATTTACGAGACATGCAATATTATTTAATTTATATATTCATGTAAAGTCAATATTGTGGTTTTTTATGCATTATTATATTTTGTATTATTAATTTAATATTTATGTTTCAGATAACATTTCTTGTGGAAGGTCAAAATGGCAGCAACCGCTTTAGAAGACAATTCCATTTGGGAAAATGACGAGGTTTGTTTTACTAGTATTTAGATTGTGTAAACATCGTGTTGACGTAATTTTACAATTTTCAATACTTCTGCTTTGCTATAGATTTAACTTTCCTGATCTGGTTGATGTACTTTCGTAGCTTGATATGCTTTAATGCACCCATGTTTCCTGCTGTGTCATGAGTCATAGACGCAAAATGTGACACTCACACTCACACTGTCACTGTGTCTGTGGCTGTGTTATTAGTTGTTAGGTGTGTTAGTTAATAGGTACGGAGTAGCTCTAGTACTATAGCCCGCGTACAGTTGCCGCAGGGCTATATCTTGTATCTTGGGGTCCCTCTCTTGTATTTCACAAGGCACTGATTCTCTGGGCCATAGAATATACTAGTATGGCAATTTCCAGTGAGTAAGCAAAGACAACTTTTGGCCGATAATAACTTCTTCGGTATGCCAAATAAAACACATTCTCTGCCGGACAAATGTCTTAAGTTACTACAAACACTAAAATGAAAAGACAAACTAACGCTTAAATATTGTACTTGCCATATTGCTCGTCGACGAAGATTGTTGGTTCAAGGATAGAGAACATGGGTCCCAATAAAACCAATGTCATTTACATCAATATAAAGATAATATTATATCAATATAATAGGTTAGGGTTATGGTTAGGGTTAGGATTAGGGTTAGAATTAGGGTTAGGGTTAGGGTTAGGCACATTGGTTTTATTGGGACCCATGTTCTCTATCCTTGGGCCATTAGGGTTAGGGTTAGGCACATTGGTTTTATTGGGACCCATGTTCTCTATCCTTGGGCCAGATTGTTTATCAACTTGTAACCTCCATTTCTCGTTGCGCAGTTCCGGCGCTAGTGAGCAGGCACAATGTATTTCCAAGTGGAGGGGTGGGCAGGTTGCACGCGGATTTAACCGCCATTTTTCGTTGCACAGCGCTAGCGCGGTTTGCAACTGCGTGCAACCTGCCCACCCCTCCACTTTGAAATACATTGTGCCTGCTCACTAGCGAAAAGTGGCGTTTACAAGTTACAATCTTCGTCGACGAGTAATATAGCAAGTACAACATTTAACCGTTAGTTTGCAGTTTCATTTTTAGCTCACCTTGACATCGTCAAGCTGAGCTAGTGCCATGGGTCGTCGTCCGTCGTACGACCGTCCGGCCGTCAACATTTGGCTTCGGTCAACAACAA